CCGGTGGCATGACAGCCACGGGAAGCCGACGGGTAAAGACATCAGTTGTTATCGGATTACATCGTTGAAGAGAAATTGTTTGCGCCATGTTCCCGAAGTAACAAAGAGCCGACGGAAGGGGGGAGAAGGTGGACAGGATGAGCTTGAGAGGAAGCAGCCAGCCTTACATTCTAGCTGCCTTGATTATCTGCCAGGTTTTTGTTCATCTGCTATTGAAATTTTCAGGCAATGTTAGCAGCTTTCCACTACAGGAACAGTCCCTCTGGAAACTGTTGACTGTGGATTATCCAGACTGAGTGAGACACTGTTCCTGTAAAGAAATGCCACACTTAACTCCTTAATCCCTGATCTACTGACTCAAATAACTTACGAGAAACTTTTTTAATGGTTTTTGTTTTGTTTAGTTAGTAATAACCTTCTACAAATACACAACTCGAAAAAGTGCTAGATTAGGATATCGCAAAAACTGAACACTGTATTAATGCATGAACTTTCCAAGTTGAAGAAAAGCATGTTTGTGTTTATTTTTGCTTCTTTCCTCAAAGTCATTTTCCTGTCTCCTCTACAGCTTTCAGCGCTGACACAGTGCTTTTAACTTAAAGTCACCTTGTGTGTACTTCTTCATGAGCATCTGCAGTTTAACTTGTGAAACTGGGTGTAGTAACCACCAAAGGGACTCCAGTGGATGATGTGGATGAGAAATACATTTCCACAGACCTTTTTTTTTTAAAAAGCAGTGGTCCGGAGACTCAAAGGGATGAAAACACTTGGAAGGGAGAACGGTGTAGTCTGGATCAAATACAGTTTTGGCTTTTGCTTAAAATTTTAAACTCACAAAGGGAGAGGAATAGAAAGAACAAGTAATTATTCTACCTTGACCTCTTTGAGTATTCATTTTAAATAAAATGCTTAAAAAGAAGAAGCAGGGAACTGGAGTGATACTGCATTAATGCATTGGGAAAAAGCCTTTGGCACTGAAGATGATTAACAGCCTCCAGACAGTGTTAGATTTTAAATGGTGACCAAAAACAGCACCTTATTGTAAAACACCCACCTCGTGCTGCTGAGCCGCATGAATTAAAATAACATATTAATAAAGACAAAAGTGTCACGTACAACACTGTGCACATCACACTGAACTTGGACTGAAAAGTGGGACAGCACTGTGGAGGAAAGCAGCAGTGAATCAAAGAGAGGAAGAAACAAAGAAGGCAAGAGGGAGGAAGGGAGGAAGGGAGGGGTGGAGGGAGGCTTGGCCAGTGATTGAGTGCAACATGTGAGACATCTGCTGTTGAAACAAAGTAGGAGTTCAAAATGCTGCTTTCCAAGATCTACTTTCCATCTCAATAACTGTGGGTAAAACTTTGCACTGCTGCAGGACAAAACTCGGCAAGAGAAGAAGAAAAAAACCTCACATAAATGACAAAAGCAGGAAAGTCAAAAAACTACATTTTTCACAAAATACCAAAAGATCCGCCTGAGCTGCAAGGTTTCAAACATCAAACCGTACCACATTTGCTATAATGTATTGGAGCAGTTAGACCTACCTTACAGCAGCAGCCCTGAGCAATCCAATCCTCTCGACAGACATTTGAGTGCCTAAATAGAAACTACCTCATTTACAAACAAGCTTGCATTAAAAACTAAATGGAATGTGTCCATAAATGCAAAGTATCAGTGAGCAAGAACAGTAGCTTTACAGGGAAAAAGAATGGATGAAGGAAAAGTAAGAGGGAGAGGGGGTAAAATAGCAAAGAGTAAACAATAAACAGAGATATTGGACAGGCTGAGAGGCCACACAGGACAGAGACAGGGTGTGAGGGAGGGAAAGCTGCACAGGAAGTTGATAATAATGGAGATGTAATGATGTCTCTGAGGAGAACCTAATGGAACTTGTCCTAAATCTCTCCGCTTATTTCCTCCTTTTGATGAAATCCATGAAAGGGTTAATAAAGATGAAACATGCTGAGAGGTAACCCATGATGTGAAACGTATTTTAGTGTAAACAGTAAAAAAGAAAAGGAACGCTTTCATTAATATATGTGGAGCAAAACACACCCTGATAACATGTTTCACTGATATATAACCAAACTTCAGATGATGTATCAAAGCTATAGTCAGACATCGGGAGGGTAACTTTAGCTGTATCGTCCTGTCTTTGGCACACTGTATATGTCTAGCTGTCAATGCCAAATTAGCTCAAGTATGACTTTGTAGGAAAAGCACGACAACAAGCAGGAAACCAAAAAAGGAAAAGAAGCGAGCAAGAAAGAAAGCAGGAATAGATGAAACGTGGTGTCGGACTGGGACAGAGACCAAATGAGCCCTGAGCTCATCCTCACAGAGACATGCTGAGCTTGTGCAGCAGAGAATAACTATTCTGTAGCACAGCAGCCAAATTCCTCTCCTCTTCCTCCTCTCCTGACCTTTTGGCTGACCCCTCTGACCCCAAGGCAACTGTCCCCATGCTGTGAAAACACTAGATAATGCAATACTTGCATGTGAGTTCCCTCACTGTCAAATCACTGAATATGATCATACTCAACTTCAAAGCTGAACATCTTGTTTCCGTTAGTTCTGAGACGCAGGCAGCCTCGTCTTTACTAGCATATGCTACAGCACCCTCCGCACAATATGCAGATTAAAGAAACATGCGTTGGATTTGGATTGAATCTGAATGACTTTCAAAAAGCACTAATGAAAGCAGTCTGTTTGTGATCCTGAACCAGCGCTCCTGCACTAATCAATGCTGACCGAACAGATGAATCCAGCTTTTCTTTACTTATGCATTCCGATCTACTTGCTACAAAAATAAATATTCACCCTGTAAGAGAGGCTTCAACAAAAAACAAAACATCTGGTTCTTTTTGTTAACATTTGGATGTCTGATTTCATTTTTCAGATGCTATCCTCCTCTAAAAAAAACAAACAAAAAATCGGCTGCTATTACTTTTGCATCTCCAGCCAGTCTACCCTGCTCTGAGGGCAAGTAAACATAACTTGTCTCCACAGAGACATGTACACTCAGCATACAGTGCAAATTTCTAACCCATCTGTGTAATCTCTTAGGATGGCGAGAGTCTCACTGCAAATTTAAAATGAACAGCTCAATGAACTCCCGGTTTACTGAGAGAGACGAAACAGATCTCACAAAGCATGTAATAGTGTGTTTTCAGCTTTGATAGCGCTCCAGCTCTACGGATGGCAGTCTGTCTGTTCATCGCTACATCCAGCCTGAAATATCACAACAGCTGTAGTACACACATTCAGGGTCCCCCTTTCAGAACGTGGGTGAATGTAACCAACAGCTCCTAATTTATTAATGAACAGCACCAGTTAGCTGTTGGATCTATGATGTTAAACAACCACCTGCCACTAACCAAAGCCGGTAGATGGTAGCACTCCAGGTGGAGAGTCATCTGTACAAACATGAGTGATTCCTCCCTGCTGTATGTAGTCTGTATCAAGTGTGCAACCGCATTCTGCACGAGTGAAAAAGTTAACCTGCAAGAAAAGAAGGCTGCTGGAGCTAGCACTGCGAGTCTGACAATGTGTGAATGCAATGAATTATGCAAAATTCCATGTAAGCAGCATTGCATGCAGTATTTGTACAGACATCTGTGAACCTTGTCCATTGACCTGCGTTTAATTTTGACTCTTTCCTGCGTTTTTGATGAGTTATTAGTCAGATTTTTTTTCCCCTGGTTCTCCTGAAGAGGAAATAAGTCACCAGGATTGTCAGGAAAGGTTAAAAAACTCACATCACTATATGCTTAAGAAAAATAGAATATAACATAATGAAAATGTTATATCAGAAACATTAAGACCACTGTTCAGCGCTTAACTGCAGTTTCTGTACACAAATAAAAATTAATTTAACAAATACCGTGTCCAATTTATGAACTAACGTCAGCTTTAAGACTGTGGCTCTGTCAGCCCTGGCTGTGGGATTTTAAGCGACAACAAGTCAGAAGTCATTTTGCCATCACATAGCCACAGCCTAATTTAATTTCATACAGAAAATAATATCAAATGCATTAAGCTCACAGGTATTTGACCCGGTCATACTTCAGACTGAACTGTAATCCAGTTGTCGAGCTGACTTTTCAACTAGCTGATAATAATTTGGGAGAAAATGTCCAGCACTTTAAATCATTGCAAGTAAATTAAATATCGAGTATGTGCTACACAATAATTGTTACCTCAGCACGAAAGCAAGGGAGTGTTTGCTTGCTTGTCATCTTGCTAAAATGACTTGAGTTTCTAAGTGTGAGATGTAATTCGAGTATGTCAGAAAACCTGAGATATTGAACATGTACACAAAGACGTACTAATAAGTTCATGCCTTTGTTAGGCTCAGGTTTCCCCTGCAAACATCAGAAGAAATCACCACAAACATGTGAGTCAACGCTGAAACCCCCACAGAATATGGTTTCTTTGCACATTAAATATTTAACAAGTATTTAATAAAGGCATGAACATTTTTATCAGTCTATTAAAAAAAACAGTCAGTTGTTGATTTTTCATGGAAGAATCTGTATACACATCCAAGACTGTTAAATAACCGCACTAATAAGTGGAAAGGCTGCATCGAGACTTGGTGCATGTAAAATGCCTTTCAGCCTCGTTCGTGCACTAACAAACATAAAGGGCCTGAAAATTCAAGTAGAAGAAACAAATATATAAAAATGCTTTACAGGAACAAGAACACAGGAATTCTCATGCTTAGAAGGCGAGAATAACAAAATGAGCTGTGCAGACTCTCCAGTCTGGAATGATGCTCATTTTCAGCTGCAGAGACTAAACACGGGGCAAACAATGGCATAAAGAGTCAAAGCCGATCCATCACACTGAAATCCTCTGATACAAACTCAAATACAGACAAAGGAAAAGTCACATTTCCATTTGATGTCACAATTTTGTGCATAAACACTGCTTGTAGAAGACGATCAACACTGAAATGACGGATAACATCAAAATGAATCACACGGTGTACTCACAGCTCCACTCTGCAGCCAGTCTACAAGAGCCTGTGCGGTCTCTGCAGGCAGCTGTGCTCGGAGGCTGTTTCGCTCCTCCTGGCTGGGTCGAAGCTCCAAGGAAAGTTTGAGGTCCTCAGCTAACTGAAGGACCTGCAGCGGTCCAGCACTGATGGGGGAACCCAGGTCATACATGCTGTTAGAGAACTCCATCGCTGCTGCTTTTGAACCTGGTGTGTGAGTGATGGAGGAGGAGAGGATTAGAGGACATTAATATTACTAAGGAAGTCAAACTTTAATCAGAGCCATACATCTTTCTAATACATGGCCTCCAAACCGTCCATGTGTCACCTGGATCATTTCCCTGCACTGTATGGCCCAAGCTAACAAACATCTGGATGCACTTAAGCAATCGTGGCTCTAAAACAACAGCAAACAGAGCCCAAAATTAACAAAAGAGCACGCAACAGAAACAAGCTGCGTCCATTTATCATGAAGAGGCTGAGTTTAAGCTACACATCTGTGGGCTTACTTTATTTGAAATAAAATAAGCAGAGAGAAAATCTAGGATGCTCAAACACCACTGAGCTGGTATCTATGTCAGAACTGCTTCTAATGTGCGATGTTTCTGAAAGATCATCGCTGACATTTCAGCTGAAATGCTGAGAATTCTTAAAGTGAATTATTTTATCTGCACTATAAGGAAAAAAACGAGAAGAACAAAAGCTTTATCAAACAAAAGTTGTTGTTTTTTTTTATTATTTGTCATGGTCTTTGGATTTTATAGAGAGTTTGAAAGGTTTAGCTTCCTGTGTTGAGTTAATCTGATATCCTTCATTGTGTCTGTTCCCTGTGCTTCCTGTGTTGCCCTGTCCACGGTCTCATGTCTCACTTGTAGCCGATTCCTGTTTTATTTTGGAGACAGTGTTTTTAATGTGTCTCCTGTTGCTTTTATTTTGTTAAAGTTGTGCTTCTGGGCTATAATTTGTTCTGTTTTGTCATTTATAACTATACCCTGAAGATATGGCTGTTATAATCAGTGTTGAGAAGGTTACTTACAAAATGTATCCCACTACAGATTACAGAATACATGCCCCAAAATGTATTTTGTAACGTATTCCGTTACGTTACTCAATGAGAGTAACGCATTCTGAATACTTTGGATTACTTAATATATTATCATGCTTTTGCTGTGTGATTTATTACTATTACTGAAGGATAGTCACCATACCAATACCAACTAGATGTTTAAATCTTAATATAAAATGAGTAACAGTAGGTGGACATTAGGTAAGGCTGCACTTTTTGCAGCGATCTCGTATATAAAACAGGTCCGCGGCTCCGAACCGTAGTAAAGGGACCTCTGGCTAATACGTCGGGTTCGTGTCGGGCTCGTCGCCCAAAACTAGCTTTACTTTGTCGCCTGGGTCGACTTTGCTAGCGAGGGACAGAGAGAGGCATTGAAAGGCTGCTCCAACAGAACTTGTTGTTTCGGAGGAAAACACGAACACAGCGTACAGTCGAGTCTTAATAGCTTACTTACAGCTGGGCTCGTCAGGCACTCTTCACTTCAGGCTGCAGTGGTTATTATTATGTTTACATGCTTACACTCTACCTATTGCCTTCATATTGAATAATTATTTTGAATAATAATTTTTAAAAATATTTCGTCACGTCATTATGCGGGCCGCGAAATTGAGTTCTGTTGGAGGTTTCTTCCTGTTAAAAGGGAGTTTTTCCTTCCCACTGTCGCCAAAGTGCTTGCTCATAGGGGGTCATATGATTGTTGGGTTTTTCTCTGTATATATGAAGTGCCTTGAGGCGACTTTTGTTGTGATTTGGCGCTATATAAATAAAACTGAATTGAATTGAATTGAATGTCAGGTAAGCAAAGCATGCAAATTGTGATGCAATGGCAAGTTCAAGTTGCCCGCTACTTAGTACACTGTCATTGTACATTGTATTAGTAAATGTGTATGTAACTGATTACAACTGTAAAGCATTTTAATTTCAGAGGTAGTCCTAATAATTTATTTCTGCACCATTAACAGCCTTTACTCTGTGACCCGTCTGCGTCTGATAACATCTACATCCCAGGACTGGCAGCATATAGACAACTTATTAAAAGGTAGCTGTGATAAAGGTTTGCAGCTGCTCCTCTGCCTGCAAACAGATCAAAAACAACACCAACACCAAAATCGTTAACCAGCAGAGTGCTTTCACAAGTATTACCGCAAGAAGCTTTTCGACCCCAAAAGCACAGAAAAAGCTGTCTTGATCATGGAATGCAATATGACCGACATATCTAAATTCCTGATAAGTGGCTCTAATTTCCTCGTTAGCGACTGGCTGATGCTATCGCTAATGGCATTTTTAATGTCTTTCTATTTGTGGTCAGTGAGAGCCGGAACAGCAAGCTCAAAGGCCTGGGTGAGATCAGCACATTGATGGCAAATAGTAACAACAATTACAACAATGATAGCAGTAAAGCCTCTTTTCTCCACTTGTCTGTGTGAAAATAAGTCGCAGGGCAACTGTGAGAATACAACTGCAATTTTATTTCATCTGCTGATTATTTTCTCAATTGATGAACTGCCTCGACTAACAAAACTGGGAATAACTGACAGTGTTATTTTTAAAAATTACTTGATTGATTGAAGTTTCCACAGATATCCAGCAAATGAGAAAATTACAAAAAATGATTAACTCACTATCAAAACAGTTTCATCAGTCACCACAAGAGATAGTAAAGTAACTACTAATAGTTTACCATTTACCAAAATTTTACTTTCATTAGTGACCAAAACATTTCTGATTCTGACGGATTCACAGGAAATCCTCCGCGTCGGTCCTTCTCTCCCTAACCTTGTGACTGAACTGATGTGTTTTCCCACATCATGCTGCTCGATCACATTAAACATTTACCCCACTGTCAGTCTAATCTTTTCTGTCCAAGGCTGAGCTGCCTGCAACAAACTTTGTTATACTGTACAAACACAGAAAACGAGGCAGTCTCACCATTGCAAGCCTGCCATTTATTAACCTGCTGTGTTCAGAAATTTTACACTGTTACATGGGGTTAATATCTCAAAATGTTATCTTATTAACTCAACCTTTTGAGAAAATAACTCAAAATTGAGAAATTAGCTTGAAATTTGGGGTTAGCAAGTCAAAAGTTTAAGATAATAGGCCAAATTTTTAACTTATGGATCACAAAAAAAAAGGTATGAGCTGAACTCAAAGCAAACCCAAACACTGAACTATATCATTTTTAGCTCTAGTAAGTTATATTTTACGGATGAAGAATGGTAAACAATCTGCACTCATGTAGCCCTTTTGACCTTTGACCTTATAGGTTACATAATGTGCTTGACAATGTGTTTGCTTGTCATAAGTTGAAGCTTTATCAATATTGTACATAATCATTTCCTGCAGCTCTACTGTAAAAAAATAAATACAAATGCATTGTCACACATACACCTATGACTGGGGATGGATATTGACAAGATTTTATTGATACAGTTGCCACAAACGACTCAGCTCTCATGTCTGCTTCCTTACTGGGTTCTGATCAATTTTGGGTGCAGGGAAAACCCAGTACTGACAAATGAATCGACAAGCCTGAAGGTATATGAATCAGATGGATTAGACAAGGGCAGCGACTCTGGCTGCAAAAACACAGACTTCCAGCTGTATAGACGGATAAGGGGAAACCACCCTCAGGTTTCCTTGATATGTGACTTCAGTAACTACTCCAAAAATACTTTTCACTTTGTAAATTATGTTCCCCATCAATGTTCAGAACGAGGATAAAGCATTGCATGCTTCAGAGCAGGCCTATTTTCTGCCTGACAAGCCACTAATGCATGAGCATGCTGACTCCTGGTTTCAGATAGCAATGAACAAGAAGCTCAGGCCAAGGCTTTAAAATACAGGCCACGGACAGTGCTACCTGTCAGCCTCCTAGTAGACACGCCTATCGTATCAATTTAAAAAGTCTTTATCGCATTGTTCTTAAGTTATAGCATTTCTAAGATTTTCAGAGATTTTCAGAAAATTTGACCTCTGACCTTGTGGTCGAGGTCACTGAGACTCATCCAAGATGTTTAGCAGATACGCCTACGGTATCATTTTAAAACTCCTGCGTTGCTTCATTCCCGAGTTATCACTTTCACAAACTTGGGTGCCCACCTCACCCACCCAGCAATACCTCATCAGCCTTTTACGTCGGAATGGTAAAAATGAACCAGAGTGCGTGACATCATAGTGGTTCAGTCCATCTTTAACATACAGTCTATGAGTAGCAACAAATATACCACTTACGTTCTGGACGCTTCTGGTGCCGGCAAACACATTTTTTTTATTATGTTGCTGTGGCTGATGCACAAAGTTTCCACTTTAGTTCTCAGTAACAATCACTAATTGCCCAAATTACAACAGCAGTACGGAGCAGTGTTACAGCATTAATACAGACCAGATGATGCTTATTTGTAGCACACGGTGCTGGAGAAGCCAACCTGTGTGCAGATACTGGTTCATGACATGCTGAGACTTCCACTTACCTCTAAACACTAACTCAAAGTTTACACCTGTTGCTTTCTAGCCTTTACCTGCAATGATGTCGTCCATCTGCTCCAGTGCCGCCTCGAGCATGTGACTGGCCTCTGTTTCCATGGTGATGGCAGGTAGCATCAGATCTCAGGTGTTCTGATGTTCTACAGAAGAAATAAAAAAAATAAGTTAAGTAGCAACTTGCTGTACAACGTACTCAAGACTTTGACAGAAAAAACTATATATTTGTGGATTTCTGGAGTAGCGAGTGGTTCCCCAAACCAAAACATAGAGACCAGTGCTGCACCACTCCTAGAGACAGGGAGGGTTTTACTTACCCAAAGGTTATGCATATTCATATGGAGATACAAAAGAAGACTAAATCTGATTCTTTTTGTGCTAAGAAAACAAATCTTTATTTTTTTTAAAAACTGGTCTGTTTGAAAGTAGTTATAGCTGTTCCCATGATTTTTCTTACATTTCACCAGTTGAAAATGGATGGATTTTAGTATTTGGCAACTAATATGAAAATAACAAAGTTTTACAGTTTAGAGTAAAAGATCTATCATATATATTTAATCTATATAATATTCTGGATATTTAAAATTGAGCTGTTGTATATATTAGAGCTATTCCTTATATTTTATAATGTTGTAATATATTGAATTCCTTAATTTAGTTCAGTCTGTAACTGTTCTTATTGTCTTGGAGCAACTGTAACCACATAATTTCCTTACGGATTAAGTATTCTGATAATCTCTCGGATGGCTTGGGAACGCCTTGGTGTTTCCCCGGATAAACTGGGCTTCTCTGCTTAGGCTGCTGCCCCCACAACCCCGCCCCGGATAAGCAGAAGAAGATTATTGATGGTGGATTCTGATTCTAATATTACTAATAATAACCATAAATTCTGCCAGTATCGGTCAACAGGGCCAATAACAACAACAACAATAGGCCGATATATTGGTGCACCGCTAGTAAAAGCTTAATTGCATCAATGGGTTTTTTGAGGTTAACAATTTTTGTCCCTAACAGTGACTCACAGGACAACAAAGAGTTACGTTGGACTAAAGTTATATACCTATGTGGTATGTGACTTTTGTTGCCATGATGCCAGGTCTCTCTTGGAAGTAAGATTTTTAATCTCAATGAGATTTTTTTACCTGGATAAATAAAGCACTAATAAAAATAATAAGCTGCATTAACCATCAGTCACCACCAGGGTCCAAAAAATGACGATAAATGTTTAAATGTTCTTTTAATTTGATTAAAAATCTCTCTCAGGCTTTTTGCTGAGTTTTGAGGTCTTTGCATTGACACAGCGTACGTCATTGTTTTGTGTTTTGTTTTATTTTACAGACACAGATATAACCCACAAACTCTCTTTAAAAAATCCTCACTACGTGCACAGAGGCAGCATACATGTAACTAGGAACAACCGTACAAGAACAGCCATGGCTTTCCATCCATCATCACCGCCTCCGGCTGCCCTCCGACTCCTGACATCCTTGTTTCCTGCTTTTCAGCCCTCCCAGTCCTCCCTTCTTTGCCTGGCACTCATCCTTTTTCTGTCATCTCTCCTTCAAGGCTCTCACACTGCTGTCACGCTGTCATGCCAGCTTACAAACAAACAGACATCATCATGTTCAAATCGAAGAGGAAGGACGGTGATGTAATCTACTGACGCGTGGGAGAATAAACCCCCCTGCACAGCACACTAATGCTCATCTGCATTAGCACCAACTGGCACATCATCATGACAAGTGACAATGAAAATCAACATGAAACACACTGAATGGAATTACAGTAACATGCTGTCATTACTGTGTAAGACAGCATCAGAATTCCCCAAAGATTCCCCATGATGTAATGTGATGGGTGTGTGTGTGTGTGTGTGTCTGTGTGTGTGAGTTTGTCTGTCAGGACTGTCAAATAAAATATGAAATACACGAACAAAATCAGTCTTCGATTGTTAAAAAAGAAAGAAAGAAAGAAACAGCAAAGCTGGCCGCTGTCTGCCTCTGGAGCTTTGCAGTACGCTGCAGGCGGCTACTACTCCGGGGGTTAATGGAGCCTTTGAAAGCATTTAAAATATAACAATAATAATAATAATAACACAGCAGGGTAGAGTAGGTGCAGAGACAAAGACTAATGAATGACTTTACCTACTGTAATTAAGAGAACATAATAGGATGACTGAACATCCAAAGGTCCTTGTGTTTATTACTTATTACAGTCATATTAGTAAATATAACTGTGCTTGTAGTATTTTATATGGAAGCCCGTTTCTGCCACAAAAAAAAGTATCCATAACTTGAAATTTCAAGTTATCGTCCTTGAAATTTTGACTTATTTACTCAAAATTTTGAGAAAAGTAACTCGAAATTTCGGGTTAGCTCTGCCAATCGGTAATCTACATGAATGACGTCATTTTCTTGTTCTCCAGAAGGATACGGCGCAGAGGAATGCGCATTCAAAAATCGAGAGTACGTTTGCTGATAATAACGCCATGCGATTCAGCTAATAACACAAGGATTTCATAATTTGTGAAGCCACGCTGAAAATAGTCAGCAATTTGTGTATTCGTGACTGGCTGTAATACTGGTAGCTTAGCTGTAGCATTTGTAGCTGAGGGCTTCCGGGTAACACGGAAATGACGTAATTCCCGCAGATTGATACTGACTGGCAATGCTAACTTGAAATTTCGAGTTACTTTTCTCAAAATTTTGAGATAATAAGTCAAAATTTGAGAAAATAACTCAAAATTTCAAGTTATGGATACTTTTTTTTAGCGGCAGAAAAGGGCTTCCATAATTTTGCCATTCTGTGGGAACAAACTGACTTTTAAATGGTTTAAACCTGCGTGCTTTTTTACAAATGACTACCCCAACATTACTTTTTGGTAACTGGACAGAGCTACAGTGTGCATTTGTGTGCACAGATGAAGAAGCATGTGTTTAAATAATGCCCAGTGTTATGTTCATTATAAATGACTCCATATTAGCATGTGCAGGCCGAGGGTGACAGCACCATTCAGATACTGTGACACACTGTCTCTGTCCAGCTGCATTGTTGACCTCGACAGAACAACATCGCCTTTGTGTCCACTGTATGTGTGTGTGTGTGTGTGTGTGTGTGTGTGTGTGTGTGTGTGTGTGTGTGAGCTTGAAAGGGCCACAGTGTGTGAAACTAATCACAGTTTTACAGTGAGACTGCATATAAAGGTGCTGATACACAGAGATTACTGATCTCCACAGAGCTGACTATACAAAGTGTAAAGAACAAGATCCACTGTGGAGAGAAGTTTCTATGTGAGAGGGTTGAGTGGTCAGGGTGTGTGTGTGTGTGTGTGTGTGTGTGTGTGTGTGTGTGTGTGTGTGTGTGTGTGTGTGTGTGTGTGCGTGTGAGAGCCTCTGAGTTTGCGTGTGAGTGGATAGATTGCTCTTGCTAAAGAGATGTGTCACACTGAAACTGCTTCACACTAACTGAAAATTAATATATTTTCACTTTTATCATCTTTTCACTGCTTTCTTAAAGCACCTTACCTAAGATGACAATTTTCAAACTTACTTTGCAGAAAGAAGCTATTAAAAAAGAGAAAGTACATACTGGAGAGCTTATTTAAGGTGTTTGATATCCCATCAGTCGCCTGTTACAGTCAAACAATCAAAGAGCAATTAGGTAGTGTGTGTGAACATGACAGGCTTGCTCATTCATGGATGTGAGAAAACAGACACGCCTTTTCCCACGATCGCAGATGCACTCCAGAAAAACATGTTTGTCAAACGTGGAGATAAATGTGACCTGTTTCTTACAGCTACACCCTCCTCAGTGTTGACAGCTCTCTCACCTGAGTCAAAAGGAAAGCGGATACTCGGCCAAATTTAATCCGGTCTCTAACCTCATGTGCTGACGGGACATATCCGAAACTTCATGTCTACAGCTAAAAATACACATTTTTTTTAAAACTACTTTTACAGCTTAATTCAAGTACCAGTTTCATGAGTAAGATGAGCCCAACACATCTCATTACTCAGACCATTACAACCTGTCCTCTAAGCAAGTAGGGGCCTGTGCTATGATGCAGGATTTGGGACTTAGTGAGGGTTAACGCTGGGTTTTCAGCGACTCACATCCTACTGAGGTATCTCGTTATGTTAACTTATAGTGCAGAACTAACAGGCTCCACTTAAGTTATGCTCAAGATAAGAGATGAACATGTACAAAATCAAAGCCTAAACAGAAAGCAGAGCTGACATTCCTGGAAGCTGCTTTGGACCTTTGTGTGCAGACAGAGAGAAGGTTTATGGTTCTTACACATCCGGTCAGTGGTCATTTTCTTTTGGCATAAGAAAGCATGTCACTTTTATTCAGTTTACAAAACTTTATGGAAAGATGAACACTGTGTCGCTTTTAGTATGTATTACATGCTTAACTCCTTTGTATTTTTTGAATTTTATAGTCTATACTGCTGTAAGTAGACCTGTCCGTGCTCTCAGCTGGTCATGTGATGCCAATACTGCCTCTTTTGTGAATGTGCTCACAGTTAGATTTGGAAATCCTGGGTTATACTGAAGAGTTGATAACCACCTTCTTGTGACCGCCTAGCCTGATTTCTGATGTCAGGGAAAGATAAGGAAAAGTGGGTAAACTTGCTTTGTAGCCACTGCTCCAGTTTCACCAGGTTTCCATGTTGACAGAACAGCTTCCGAACAACAATGCACGACTGGTCAGCACCTCTCTGCATAGCCACCTCTTGCATTCACACCATTTAGAAATACCTACTGCCCTGCAGCCTGCTGCAAGTGGGGATAAACTGCTATCTAAATATCCTCAAATCCAGCACGCTGCAATCCAAGCACATTTGTCTCACAAAGCGACTCTATATGCTTGCTGCAGGTTTGAGAACCAAACACTTCCCATTTCAGACTGAAAAAAAAATCCAAAGTGCTTTGATTTAAAAACCCTTCAAAGAAATAAATCAGAATCTTCTGGCGCCGGACGAGATTCAGGTGTTGAAATTGTTGACTCGGCCAACGAGGGCTTCAAAACAAAGCATGCATTTGATCCACGAGTGTGTCATGTGATCAAACATCTGCCTGTGTGAACTCATATCAAGAGATCTGTTCTGTTCACTTCATTGAAAACCAGGGAGTTTGTCTAC